AGCCCTCGTCGCGGATTGTCCTTAAGCCACTTAAATCCAAGATGCTTAGAGAAGCAACCGCCTTAAAGACGTGGCACTACCATCAAATAATGCCCTATCTCTTAATCGAGACCATAAAGTTTGTATCGTAACTTGTTCTTCTGAAACCATGTGTAATATGACATTATAATTTAGTTAACAAATTAATGCAAATTTCTGATAAGTTATTATAATAAGATCTTACTTTTGTGATACATATTATAGATCACTTCTCGAATGGCACTTGTATCCAATGTCGCTGTGTTGGTTACACGTTTAATATAACTCCGCTTTTTCTTGGGCGATTCTAAATTTGCATCACTTTTCACACCCTCGGAAATACGACTAACTGTCCTTAAACTAATTTTTAAAGCAGCAGCAACACGCTACAAAAAATGAAATAAAATTTCACTATTATTAATATACATTACATATAATTATTAGTAACCTACCTCTTGAACAGCATTTAAAGGCAACAAAGGCCCGTTGTTGTCCCTTTCTTGCTCAAAGTAGTGCATTAACGAGGCCACGAGTTCCTTACACCGACTATTTAACTGTTTGGGCATCTTTATATACCAAAATTGCCTTTATCTACTCGTAAAATGAATAATTTTGTTTTGAAACAAACAGTTGTTGATTTACAGTATGCGGGGCCAAAGGATTTATAAAGATTTGAAATGCCACAAATTGATTCAGTGTCAAAATTAATACAAATGTCAGTTCCCAGTTTAAATAAGTTTCAAGGTGACAATGTGTCAACGCTGCGAAATCGGTTTAGTGCGTTTACATGTCGATAAGTGATTGGAGCGTTTGCAAAACATTTTATTTCGCATAATGCGTCTAAATTTATCAGAAAGCAACTTATGTGATATTTTAATAACAATGTTTATATGACTATTAACCATAATAAGAGAGTAATGACCATTTTACAATTTATATATCACATTAATATGAAACTGCAATAGAGCAATTGTTTGTGATAGAAACCTAGGCATTAGGTCGGGGAATTTTTATCGTGATGACGTGCACGCCACTTTGTTTGGCGTTGACTATACATGCAATTTTCACCGTCGAAATGGCAGCCGTTTTTGACGGTAACAAGAAAGTATCATAGCTGATTGTCACGGGTATAATATAAACGATACTGGAAACTAAAATACAAGGTGTTACAGGAAGTACTCTAAAAATCCTTTAAACATATAATTATTGCGGATGAAGATGTTACTTTGATTAGGCATGAATATGTTTGTATATTCTTGAATGATAGTAATAATTATATAAGGTATTATAAAGCTAAATGTACATACATATATATTGTGAGCTTCATAACCAAACATGTATTTCCAAGCATGCAAGCCATAAAAAGAGGGATCCGAAACTGTAAAGATTGTACCCTGAAGTTGTGTATATATATTTTTGCATGTGTATGTTGTGTTTGGGAGTGCCTTTTTTCAACAGACTATGCTGACACTCGATTTGAAATCATCTGAGTCATCTACGATACAGGATCGATGTATCTCTACCTGTTACCAAATTCATTATTGTAAAAAGAAACTTTATGTATATTATAAGTATGTGAAGGGCATTTATTACATTTAGCATCAAAATAAAATTGACAATGAATAAGTCATGACGTCATAATGGGCAACAAACATGAAAAATATACTTTCATAATGATCTTAACAAATAATCTTCGAAAAGCAGAAGCAGAATTGTTTCATTGGGTCTATATAATGATGTTAACATCAATCACTACAGTCGTTAGACCTGATTCCTTATATACTGTCCAGTTTCAGCAGTGGTTTGTACTAAAAAGACTCCAAGCATTTCTTTATTTTTGTAATAAATAATAGGACATAAAAAAGTTAATTGACTTATGCCCTCTCTGTTCAACGTATACATAGAATTTCTGATGGTATTTTACTGACTTATAGTTGGATCCCTCTTTTTCAGGCTTGCTGTAATGTGAGTCTTATTTATTTTACACTGTACGTAAGCTATATTATATCTAATACCAGCTTAGTTCAAATAACAGAAATGTTCATAAAGGGGCCTACTCACGTAACATTAAGGAAGACTCTGTCATTATCATCCTGGTATCCAATCATTAACCGGCAACATATGGGAATGTATCACTTATTCGTCAAAATTTGTGTTCAATTTGTCTTATTTTGATTACAATTAGGAAAATTAATTGAAATATGGAAGACGATCAAATATGACCCTTCATAAGCAAAGCTGAATTTCAAAAGCCCATCTTTCTCCATTGATACGATTTGCATAACACATTGTGATACCATTTAACAATAACTATTAAAAAAATTGTATCCGGATGCTGAAATGTGGGTGCGTCCCGAGTTATATCAGTCAGTAAAGTATCTATCAGGAACACTCTCTGCGTCAGTCGAATTAGGTTTGTCGGTATTTTCTAAACTGAAGGGATTTGTATTGAGATTACTTCAAGATGCCCTCACCTGTGAGGTCTTAAGTCACCTGATCCACGAGCCCGTTGTACTACATTAACAAAGGCACGAGGGGTTGGTTGCACTCGATTGGGAAACCGATCCGCATAAACATGTGCCATTTTTTATTTCGTTTAAGCCACGCAGCAAACACCACTATTCACTCACGCGTTACCGACTGACACATTGACTGAATAAAAACATCGTGATCAGCGTTTCAAATTCTTTCGCTTTTTTGTTTCCGATGCGATGAACCGATAAGGCGGATTATATCCGTTGTTGCGAAACACGAGCACATAATATTATTACTGAGACAGGGCGGTACTCAAACTTCTAAAGGGCTATAACTTTGTTACTTTAATTTTACCCCAAAAATGTTAAAGGAAAAAATATTTCTTTTGATCAGCTCTACTCACTGTTAAAATAAATGACTCAACTTCGAAAAATCGTTGGACTGGAATGTCGGTCATTTTTTGTGGAATTTTCTGTCTAAAACCAATCCTGCTGGATTGAAGCACAGCTATAACGAGCGTACTCTGAACTATGGCCGAACATACCTTTCAACAGTAGCCTGGTTTCACCGAATGAATCTTTGAGATCTTTAGTGGAATGCCCTTGAAATGCATTACGTTCAAAAGTTTACCCGTCAATTTTGGACGCCTTCCATTTTTACCTGTTCTTAAACATTTGGTTTTTATCTAGGGGAAAGTGCGGTATATTTTACTGCTTTTAAGATTGTGCGCCAAAGCGTGACTGATGAACACTAAACTTGTAACCCGCATTGGTGAACTTAAACTTTGCTGGTTTCTAAAAAGCCTGTTTATGCAGCATACAATATGGGCTTTTATGTCCAAATAATAATTGTTTGCTACTTGATTATTTTACAAGATCTTTGGCAAATAAAATTTAAAGTAACCTCAAGTTTCTAACAATAAACGATTTATGTTAATCAAACCGATTTGGCACCGCGTGGTCTGTTAAACTGTACCTGAATTTCTTATAGGGGGTATGGTTTGGTACCAACAGTGTGTGCTTAAACAAATATTCTCAGTTATTTTTTATGATATCTATGAGTTTTATAAATGTGCTCCAAAATGGGTGGTTATTCTGTTTTTAGTTCTATATATGAAACATTTCGATATATCCGGATATCTCAAGTTAATTTATGATCTCTTTCTGCAATTTGGTTGAACAAATCGTTCAATAAACAATAAAAATCTACTGTAGTATAATTATTAAAAGAGCCTGTTCGATACGTTTGCAATATTTTTTCAAAAGGTTTATTATTCTTTAGTCTTTAGTATTTATATACGTTTTTTGTTGTGCATTTTGACAAAAAAATGATAAGAAGACATTTTACAAAACATACTAAATGGTACAATACACGCAACTTTACCCTATCCTGTTATCCAAGTTTATAATACGCCATCTGATAAACCTTAGCAAACTTAACCCTGGAGCGCTTAGGCGAATAGCACGGCTATAGTTGCTTAGGCGGGGTTACCAATAACCCCAGTGATATATTCCTATTTAATGAACAAAATATAAAAGATAGACACTTTTGTTTCAATAATAAAACATTTATTTCAAACACTCGGTACATATTTCAGCTCGATGATTACTGCAAACAGCCTTGAAACATTTCGCACTGGCAGTTTTTGTTTTTCGGTCATTTGTTCTTGGACATAAAATGCAGCGAGTCTGTTTTAGCAATTTTGCTGGAGGTGGATCAACTTTTTCTTCTGTTTTCATATCTAGAATATTCATTATTGATTCTTTCAATTTTCGAGGTATTGGGTTTGTCAAACGTCTTTCCATATGAGGCCTGACCAGTTGTAGTCCAAGTTCAAAAAAAGCGTAATGGCCACCTGCGTCTTTTGCGGGATACCGAATATGTGTGCACCATCTGGTCAAAGGTATCGACACCTCCCTTGGTAGAATTGTAAAAATTTATTATCTCGGGTTTTTTATTTTCATCTATTGTACTACCAGAATGCATTGTCGATAAAAGTAGCACAGATTTAGACTTCTTGGGTGTGAAGGACACCAAGGTTTTTTGGTTGTCGAATCCAAATTGAGAAGACATAGTTTCTTTTCGTTTGTTTGGGAGAAATGATGGAGGAATTTCCCTCTTGTTCTTTCTGAGAGTACCCACAATGGTCAAATTGTAGTCAACAAGCATTTTGTCAGCCAGTGGGATGGAAGTAAACCAATTGTCCATCGTCAAATTGCGTCCGGTTCCGTGAATGAGTTCTGTCAGTTTTCTGACGTAATAAGCTGGGAGAGGTTCTTTATCTGGCCTATTTTCTTTGCCGATATATGGAATAGCAGTAACCATATAATATGTGCGTGAATCACACATCGTTACAACTTTGATTCCATATTTGTCAGGTTTTGATGAAATATATACTCTAAAAGGGCAATTGCCTCGAAATCCCAATAACTGTTCGTCGATGGTAGAATAACTGTGAGGAGTATAGTATTTTGTACAGTTAGATATAAACATTTCTCATATATTACGTACTGGAGAAAGTTTATCTTCTCGGTCTCTCATGGTTTTGTCGTCAAATCTGAGGTAAGATATCAAAAATCTAAATCTTGTTTCACTCATTACGCATCGATACACTTCTGGTCCATGCTTTGACCACATTTCTGCTGTAGTTAGATGATTGTCTTTTCTACAACCTGTCATATAAAGCAGTCCTATCAAAGCCAAGATCTCTTCAACGTCTGTCTCGTTAACAAAGCCACAATTAGCAACATATTTCCCTCTTTGTCGTTCTATTTCCATATTTGTATGCACCACTATAATATCTATAACATTCGCGCTAAAAAACAGTGTTTCGCTTAGGTGTTCGAGTACGACATGGAAGCTCAGTGCTCCAAATATGTCCATTTTTTTCTTTTATTACTTTGCCAGGAAGTTGTTGTTCTGTCACTCTCTACTTCACTATCATCCGTTGAGTAGGTGCTCTCCCTGTCGGACTGAATTGAAACATGGTCGTCATAGTCAGTGCCGTCATTATCTGAATCAGGTTCATTGTCGAGTTCTTCATTCCATCGTAACAGAGTTTCCTCAAATTTGGGATCATCTGGTCGGACAGCCATCTAAATAAATTACGTAATCAAGTGTGTGGAATAAAATAAAAATACCAGTTTAAGCTTACCTGGGGTTACTCGTCACCCCAAACACAAAATATCATATAAACTACTGCATTGAACAAAAATGTGCGACCAACAACACACACACTTTAACCTCAAATGAACATAGCCGGATCTCCGATGTTGCCAATTTATGCACAAAAAATTAACATTTAAATTTTCTTTGGGGTAATGCGAAACCCCACTAAGCATTACAGGGTTAAAAAAAAGTTCATATGAACTTAATTTGACAGCTTCGTTACTGAGATCTAGGGTCAAATTCTCCCAATGTCTGTCCCAATAATGATCTCTGGCATAAAATTTAATGGATATGTTGGCTACGCTACTACATAAACAAAATCTGAATTCAACATCTCGATACAACAAACCTATGCTCTTTCGATTTCGAAATTAATTTTCAACACTTGGCTTTCGGTCTGCTTTCCGCTAATACCGTCTATAACTTGGGTACCGCTCGTTCACACAAGGTCACTACCATGCCAAGGACGGGAAGGCTTTGTAGTTTCAGAAAATCGGCTCAATTGCTGCGAAGAAATAAGTTAAAAACTAAAAAAAAAAATTGAGGTCGCTCAAATTTTGTATCGGAGGATCCTGATCATTTTCTGACAAATTTTTGCAGGATTTAAAAATTGGATGTTGGGGTTGTAAGGGTGCCATTTTTTTTTCTACTAGCAATTTATACGTTTCCATTCATTCACCCTTAAAACTTGAATGACAGAGATATGCGCTTCATACACGTGCCTGTTCCGAATGCTGAATTAAAACTGAATGATCATACGTGTATTCTCTTATGTGCATCCCCGTGCTGAGTTACCCAGATGCTATCGGTAGGGCGGAAGGGTAGATTGCTGTGTTGTCAAATCTGTGAGACTATGGTGTAATTTTATTAGCGTGTTTGATCGACAAGATTCATTTAATTCCTTTGTAATACATGTTCTTAGACAAGTCTTTTGTAAGAGAGATGGACAGCGTTTGTAGGGAGTGCATGTTCAACCTACTTGAAGCCATTTATTTTCACGTTTATTTTTTTATTTTTAATAAATTGTTGTTATGAATTGTTAAATCAAAGAGTGCCAAATTTTGGTGGGTAACACTTTGTTCAAGGCTCTAACAATGACAACGAAAATCCGTTCAGTGAAACCGGTTTTCAATGTCTTGATATTTTTGTGTCTTGGGTGCTCCGCTATTTGAAGTAATTTCAATACAAATTCGCTTGGATCCATGGAATATCCTCCTGGAAACTACATCCGCTTGAAAACACAAATCTCGCTCCTCAGTCTACCGCGCCCAGTGCCTGCTTGGCGCCTCGTGCGAGTTCTTCCTCAGCTGCTGGATGTCCGGAGGCCTGCTGGACGAACCCTGTGGCCTTCTCCGTGGCTGCTGTCACCGCAGTGGCGTCTCGAAAAGGGACGAGAGCGGCGGATTGGCTATCGGGACACTGCACGCACCTCCAGAACGTGCCAAGAGCGACGATGGACCTTTCGATGCTGTTAGTAAGTTTGGATGGAGCTCACTATGGTTAGAGTAGATGACAGAAAAATACGTTTCATAGAGAAAAATATTGTATAAGAAAGTTGGAAGGTTTGAGTCTAGTCTAATCGTGACATTGGATATAATGTTATGGCTGATTTGAAGGTCAGGACAGTCTTCTTAAATGATAAACTAACACCAGAAATAAAAAAAGTAAGGAAGTTCAAATATGTTCGTGACCTTGACCATGGCAATCAAGGTCGTCTGAGTATTAAAAGAATATTTAATGGGAAACATACATTTTTAATGCCTGCATTCAAATTGCAGACAATCTGAGGTAGCAAGTATATTATTTTCAATGTACCTGATCAAGGCCATGTTCAAGGTAAATGTTGTGTAATAAAGTTGTAAGGTTTGAAAGGTTCATCTAACGGTGACCTTGAAGGTCGATACAGTTTTCCTTAATGATTAATTGACACCGACAATATAAAGAGCATGTACATGATCTTGACTATGACCATCAAGGTCGTTCGAAGATAAAATGCATTTTTACCGAGAAACATCTATTTTTAATTCCTGCAATGAAATTGCAGACAATTTTAAGTTCAAGTATATCTTTGTCAATGAACCTGACCCATTCAAGGTCATTTAAAGATCAGATAGATTTTCAAGTAAATCCGTTACCTTTTGTCGAAAATATAAAAAAAGCGAAATACATATTGAAGTTGCTTTATTGTTACATCGGAATGTTGAATGGTAAATATCCTCCAATAGGTACTCTGCAATATTGGTTATTCTTATAATCCTTTGTTTTCAAGAATTATCCTTCTGGTGGAGTTAATTTTGTGATAACAAATTTGTTGTGTAAAACCCAGCTTATACTGCTTTTTTTTAATTCACTAACGCTCTAAAAATGAATATTTCAGCCGCAGTAAAGAATCAACGTTGGCCGATTTTGGTTCTTGACATCCTTTACGATCGGTTACGATGCCTAGAGTACGGAGACCTGTACGATTTCGTCAACTTAGTGAGTTTGATAGGGGCCGTATAGTGGGACTTCGGGAAGCTGGACTTTCTTTTCGGGCAATTGCAGTTAGAGTGCAAAGAAGTGTAGATACGGTGGTTAGGTGTTGTCAGGCATGGCTTCGAGAAGGCCGTACGCAAAGAGCAAGGGGCACTGGACGCCGCCGTAGAACAACAGACCGTGAAGATCGCCGCCTAAGATTACAGGCCTTAAGGGACCGTTTCTCCACTACCAGGTCCATTGCAAATGAATGGTTTGCAGAACACGGAAGACCTATTGGCATGCGAAGTGTTTACCGACGAATGAGAAGTTTTGGCTTGTTTTCATACCGGCCACACTGGGTCCTCCCTTTAACTCGAGAACACCGACGTAATCGCCTTGAGTGGTGCAGACAATGGTCACTCTGGGATCCGGAATGGAACAGTATTGTCTTTAGTGACGAGTCTAGATTTTGTTTAGGCATGTACGATGGTCGTGCCAGGGTTAGAAGGCGACGTGGTGAAAGGAGGAATCCACAGTTTTTTGTTGAAAGACATGTTCATCACCCTATCTTGACACCCTGGCAGATCCAACTTTCCAACAAGATAATGCCCGACCACATGTTGCAAGAGTCACAATAGACTTCTTTCAACATAATGATGTCACATTGTTACCATGGCCACCAAGATCTCCCGACTTATCCCCAATTGAGCACGTGTGGGATATGATGGGTAGGAGATTGCTCAATTTGCAAGCAACGTCCTCCTCAGACTCTAGAAGCACTTCGAGGGGAGTTGGTGGTTGCCTGGAATGAGATACCACAGGAGGACATTGACCACCTGATCAGAAGCATGCCTAGGCGCGTTGGAGAATGCGTAGCACATCAGGGTGCATCCACACATTATTAAAGGTCAAAGGGCTTTAAAGCAGTGCAATCATTTTGAAATTTTTATCATTTACTTATTATGCTTCATTAACTACTTATACAAAATTTTATTAAAATAAAACCATTTAAACTGGGTGTTCGGATTTATATGTCACTTAGTATAGACTTATTCACAAGCGCATCGGATAAAGAAACTGTTAGTTGAAGCCTCCAAAAGTAATAGAAGCACATTGTATTTAATGGACACTCTACTCCTTCGTTCTTAAAAATTCCTTCTCAATATAATAATAATTTAGTGCATATATTTTCATGATTATTTTGTTCTAACGCTGCGGAAGTATCAGTGACGTTTTTAGCGTTTTCGGCTTTTTTTGTGTTCAAGAATATCAGCTGTTATTGCTATTTTTCCGAGAACATGAAGGGTTGGGAATATGCACCCATTGACTTTTACTCTAAGTCAATTAGCCGTTGAAATAGTCAAAACTTCACAGTTTGATATTACACTTTAAAAAGTCAGTAAGTTGCAATATATTGTTGCGATTTATAATTATTGGCCAAGATATTAGCGAACTACGTATTTCTTACAGAAGATTCGATATTATACTGTGCATTTTCTTTTGATGTATCCTTGTCTTGAGTTTGAAGGTGCAAATGCCCTTGACATACATAAGTAAACATAAAATAGTGAGTCCTTGACAGTCAGTATACCAGCAGAACCAGAGCATCAAATCTCACTCAAAGACCCCATAATTAGAAACCACCGTCAAGAAAAATAGGAAAAAAATCGTTTAAGAACCGCCTGTTTATTATTAACTTTCGGTTCCGGCGCCGAGACTTACGCGGTGTGGATTGGCATTATGTATTTTGGCGATTCACTGCGATTTCTACTCTATTTCCTCACGGCAACAGAACCTTGAAAAAGTGAAAGTCCCATCAACGCCGCGCATGCATTTCATGAATACGCTTATAGTGCAGGATTATTATTGTGATAGTAGATTTTGTTTGTACTGTAAGGCTCAATTCAGACGACGCGCGTTCGTTTGTCGCTCGCTTTGAAACTACAATTGATACTAGCTGGTCACATGGAAGCGCACGCCAGAAAATGTTAAGCATGGACATCTCAATACGCATTCAATACTGAAATCTATTTATCCAAGAAAGACGTTAAATCAAAACAATAACCAGTGCGTATTCAGTGTATGATCAGCACTTTGATATATTTCAAAAAAAAGGGGATCATAACAATTATTGGACAGAATCGGTCGATCCA